AAAAATATTTCTTTTATTGATATATAAATTAACAACGTGTCCAATTGCAACAAATTTTTTTTTTTTTGCATTGTTCCGGTCCAACGGCCGGAATAAACCGATGGATGCCGGTAAGAGGCTGGTTAGTTCAAATTTTCGCAATTGGACAGAGTTTTCAAAAGTGAGTGTGAAATTAATTTTTGAAAACCATAAAAACACAGCGTGTAATCAACAGCCTGGAACTAACGTTCCAAAACTCTACCAAACAAAGCCTTGATTTCCCTCATTCTGGAACAAATCCAACATTACGAATAAAAACATAAACACTCTAATAAGTGCACTCAAAATTACATATAAAAAAACTCTTTGGTGTACTTTTCTCACATGTAAACACTCAAAAAAAATTTCTTAGTGTACTTTTTTCAAATGTAACACTCAATATAATACAAACGTAAAACTCCAATGTAACATACTTCATCAATGTAAACTCCAATCAATGTAATTACAAACGTAACACTTCAATATAACATTCCAATGTAATACATACAAAAACACTAAAAACTCTTTAGTATACTTTTTCCAACTTGACACTCACAGTTTGAAATTATACAATTGTCCAAACTTACTAATGAATTTTGTACTCTTTTGGAATAGTTTGAAGAATCCCACATCCTTTTTTTAGAGTGTTATATTGGAGTGTTACATTTGAGAAAAATACACTAAGAAATTTTTTTTCTGTGTTATTTTAAAGCGTTACAAGTAAAGAGTTTTTTTGGAAGTATTATACTGCAGTGTTACGTTTGGAAAAAGTACACTAATTTTTTTTTTTTTTTTTTTGTGTTACATTAAAGTGTTACACTAAGAAACTTTGTGTTACATTAGAAAATTTTTTTAGAGTGTTATATTGGAGTTTTATGTTTTAAAAAAGCACACAAGGAGTTTTTTTATATGTTACATTAGAGTATTACACTAAAGAGTTTTTTTTGACTGTTATGCTTGGAAAAGTATACTGAGGATTTTTTTTTTTAGTGTTACGTTTGATGTTACATTGGAATATACAATTTAAAATCATACATTTATTCAAAACTTAGTAAGGAGTTTTTATATTTCTTTTTGAAATGTTTGAAGAATCTCATATTGTTTTATGAATGTCTGAAGAATCTCATATTTCAAGTCATTTTTGTACACATTTTGAAATGTTTTCCAAAACAAAAAAGAATTGTTATATAAAAATCATTCAAAATTTGATTCTCATAGATTGTGTACCTTACCTTTCTAGCACACAAAGAAAAGAAGAGAAGAAAACATAATAGAAATAAAGGTATAAACCGTAAATCTATATTTTAAATAACATTTAGTCTACATTTCTAAAATCAATAGACTAATTAATTTATAAAAAAATCCTTACGACTAAATGGATTACCATTTCTTAAAATGGGATTTATAGGAAATTTTTCTAAAATCGTAACTAAAACTCATTTATTTAACGAACTAATTTTTAGACCTAAATTAGTTTTATCCCAAATGAGAGCTAAATTCAAAAGAAGAGTGAAACCTAACCTGTTCATAAATGGTTTAAAAATCTTATCATTAATTAATATCAAATTCATTATTCAAGCCGCCTCATAAATTTAATTTAATTTGATAAAGAAAAATACTTCATCTATATAATTTTTTCTTCCAAACCTCATTAAATGATGTGAAAAAAAAAACATAAATTAATGACACATACTCCTACACTCCTCTCTTCTCCTACATTCCTCTCTTCTCTCAAAACCTCACAGCCAATCTTAACACATATTTTAGGAAACTTGTGAAGTGAAATTGTGTAAATACAACACTGTTGTTTATAAATAAATAAATAGTGTCATATTCTGGTGGTCTTTGACTACTCATACGTTCCTGTCTGTGATTTCACATTAGGGTTTGTTTAACAAGATCTTTAGAGGATTCATGCATGGTGACAATTTCGATAGAGGCCTGCATTATAGTCTTCATGATTCCAACTTCTTAAAGAAATAATATAATGGCAATAATGTTGGGGTGGGTGGCTGCTATATGTATGTAAATTTCTTCGCTCTTATATTATTGAGTTGATATTTATATAAATGGGGATGAGTTTTCACTATCTAAATAATTGTTTCTTAAGTTATGTTTAGTGTGTGGGTGAAAATCTGACCAACACTGCCCGTTTAGTGATCAGCTGGAGAGCACAAGCAGAATAGATGGCTTAAGTAACCTGAAACAGAAAGAAAAAGCTCCGACGGTGGTTCTTCACCCGGGGCACTCCGACGGTCAAAGTCAGTATATCTCTTCAAAGATAATCAAGTACTAAACTGAATACTCAAAGTATAAATTCATACCTTAAACCCACGGGGTGCCTCTCTTTATAATATACTCAATCCAAGTCCCACTAGAAGTAATGACTTCTATGAACTCCAATTTACTGTTTTCTCTGGACTCTTCAAGAGATAAAGAAAAACTCCCAAGAGCTTTTATCCTTATCTTGGTTAAGTCCCTCTTTGCTTAGGACCTCGTCCCCTTATCTCGGATCCCGATATCTTCGGAGATGACCTCGGCTTTCCCTTAATTACCCTCGGCTTATCTACCAGGGCAACGTGGCACCTCGGCTGACACGTCGGCGTCATCATGCCACGTGTTGGTATTCAGAAAATATATCCCCACAACTGCCCCTAGGTTCTATTACCTCGGCATTCTGAGGTGATGGAACCTATCCGAAATTTTGTCACTTCTTTTCTGAGTAATGGCTCAAAAACTATTTAGCCAAGATTACCTACTTTCAGCCGACGTTGTTCTCTTCGGAGAACAAGGCTTCGGTCGTACTCTCCCACGCGCATGAGCTGTCATGCATATCTAACTGTTTCTTTTATGTGTTTCGTCTTTATTGGACGTGTCAGTAACGCGCCTGAAGCTTGTCTGTTCATTTCGCCTGCGCGTCTGACGCATGCGTTACCTAGGCGTAATGATTGCCCTAATTTTGCCGCCGTTTCGCATTTTTGACAACTTTTCTCTTGCCTTTATCTTTCTTCACTTTTTCATTCCGTCTTCTTGCTCTTTCTCCCTCTGAAAAAGCTCATCCTTCTTCGAATCTGCCATTGCTTCATTCTTTCTTCTGGAACTGCTCTTAATCCCTCATTTTTGCAAAAGCCCTCATTGCTGTTGCAATCAATTTCTGGGTTTGGCGAGCACTGCCTCGGCTTCATTTGTCCTGGTAAGACCCTTTCCTTTAACTCTTCATTCTCTTTATGTGCTTTGTCTGTCTGTTGCCATTACTTGATCTTGTTCGAGGTCTTGGTTTATTTGTATCTTGAATTTGTGGCTATGTTTTGAACTTCCTATGTTTTTTTTCATCATTCTCTTTGCCGCTGTTCTTGATATTGTTTCTGTATCTCTATTGTTTTCTGAGAACTATACCTTTGAATCTGAAACTTCGTCTTTGTTTTCTCTTTTTTGTAACTGCTCCAGATCTGTGCCCTCGATTTTTATCTTCATACTTACATAGATTTGGGAATTTGTCTGTAGAACCTTAATCTTTAGGGAAACCTGAAAAACGCCCATTTCTGAAACATATTCTTCTTAGTTTAAGCCGACATAATGGGTAATGTGGAGGCATAGGGTAAAATACCCCAACAAAACATTGAATACTTTAGGCAAGAATTCTCTATCCCAGCCGACGTTCATCTAAAAGCTGGCTGGGGATAATGACTACCAATCGTGCCACAGACCACATAATGCCTTTCCCAATAGTTGCTTTTACCGAAATGTGGACTTCGGCTTCCCCTCGATCCCCTTTTCGTCAAGTTCTCCACTTCTATAAGCTGAACCCCATGCAACTTACTATCAATTCCTATAGGGTAATTAAACAGTATATTGCTTTAGCTAGGCAAGAAAACTCTTAGAATCACCCTAGACCGACCTTCAATTATTGTTATAACTATGTGCCCTCTTGATCTGAAGGATAGGGGTTTTTGTCTATTACCTTAAGCCGAGATCCACTCAGTACAAAATTATAGCCCGACCTCCCAGACTCCAACAAGGGGGCTGGAGATGATTTTCTCATTGCTATCTGGAAATTGGGATTTGGCCCAGATGAGATGTCCACCTCTACCCTCTTCCTCGAACAATTACAGAGGGCAAGAGTAAGAGCCCTGAGTCAACACTTTAGTTGTTTTTATTTAAGACTTTAATACTTTTTTGTTTCTGACGTCTGTTTCTTTGCAGATCTTCATCAGCCACCGAAAAAATTTTCGCCAGTCCTTCTTCCCAGGAACAGATCTGAAAACACTTCTTGGCCTTCCAATCCATAAACGAAAAGCCCTAGTATTACTAAAACTCATCCCTACATACAAATCCACCTTACCCGACGTCCCAAGAAAAAGGAAAAAGAGTCTCTCTCCACCCACAGCCACAAACCTTAACTGCCTCTACATCCCGAACAGATCAAGAGTCCACATCTGACCCAGCCGATCTTCCATCAACTTGGCCCCGCTACTTAATACCAATTTCTGACGTAAACGTCGAAGAAAGCTTGTAAAGACTGCCGAAATGGTTCGTCCAAGCCTGTGTCCAAGACCTTCTTGCCGATCTCCAACTGACGCCGAAGCCGCACCAACGCAATCAATGCTCCCACCCCAAACAAA